GTGCAGAATTCGTGGCAGGCGCAGCACTTTGTGAACCTCCATGTGCAGAATTCGTGGCAGGCGCAGCACTTTGTGAACCTCCATGCGCAGAATTCGTGGCAGGCGCAGCACTCTGTTGCGTTGTCGGCAGTTGTCTGCGGTTGTCTGCGGTTGTCTGCGGTGGTCGCCGGTCCGTTCCTCCATTGTGATTAGAGTTTTCACTTGTTTCTTGACGTGCAGAATTCGTGGCAGGCGCAGCACTTTGTGAACCTCCATGCGTAGATTTCGTGGCAGGCACAGCACTTTGTGAACCTCCATGCGTAGATTTCGTGGCAGGCACAGCACTTTGTGATCCTCCATGTGCAGATTTCGTGGCAGGCACAGCGCTTTGTGAACCTCCATGTGCAGATTTCGTGGCAGGCGCAGCACTTTGTGAAGCTCCATGCGCAGATTTCGTGGCAGGCGCAGCATGCGCAGATTTCGTGGCAGGCACAGCACTTTGTGAACATAGATTCCAAGGCGCAAATGATGTGCTGACAGTGACAAACAAAATCTTTGGTCTTCACTTTTACAGATGGTTATGACATCTTTTGCATGTAATACTCATGACGACGCCCAGGTTCACGCACACGACCTGCTTTCGTCTGCACGATGAAAAAGAGCTTGGCTATAGAGTTTTACGTCGGCAGCGCGATGGGGTTTTACTTCGGCTAGTTGTGGCTGTACACACATGTCTGCGCAATACCTCGTACATCCGCCGTGCACATTACTCTCCCACACCTCTCTCCCACCCCTCTGTTGTGTAATTCTGATATAATAATTCCTGACAAGACCATGTTGTAGAAGCTATTGAGACTCTGACTGCTTTGTGCTTTAGAAACTTAAGATTCGTAAAGATTCATATGTGGGGTTATCCGGTCCTTTAATTTGATTTAGTTTTCTTGGTCAGCTATTGTTTCCCTTTAAGATCCTTGTTCAACCTCTTCTGAGGTTTTGTTTGATGGCTGGAACTCTGACCTGAAAGCCGCGTTTAAACAGCCCTTATTTTACTACAAAATGATCGAAACCATTGCTCCAAACAATGTTTCAAGGGAGAAAAACGCAAACCCAGGGGAGGTGAGTCGTACGAATCGACGAATCGAATTGTGTAGGGGGTCGGAATAGCGCGTAAACTTGGAGCCCTGGGCAAGAATCTTTTGTTCGACTACTACTGCTACTGCTACTACTACCACTACCACTACCACTACCACTACCACTACCACCACTACGACGACTGCTGCTACTACTACTACCACCACAACCACTACTACCACTACAAGTAACTACTAACTACTAACTGCTAACGAACTAGAAAACTACTAACTACTAACTACTAACTACTAACTAACTACGTTCATCAACTTACTACTTACATCTACTTACTACTTGAATCTACTTACTACTTGCCTCTACTTAACTACTTACTACTACATACTACTATCTACTACTACTTACTATTACTTACTACCTACTACTTACATCTACTTACTACTCGCTACCTACTACCTACTACCTACTACCTACTACCTACTACCTACTTACTACTACTTACTACCTACTTACTACTACTTACTACTACTACTTACTGCTACTAACTACTACTTACTACTACTTACTACTACTTACTAGTAGGTAGTTACTACCTACTACTAACTACTAACTACTAACTACTAACTACCTACTACTACCACTACTACTACTACTACTACTACTACTACTACTACTAGTAGCTTTGGTGGGGTTGACTCTGTTCATTTTCCTTCAGTTGTTGTGGGAGAGGGAGGGGGGACCCCATTTACTGTTTGAGATCCAACATTAATTGGTGTCTGGGCGTTCTGTTGCTTGGTGGTTGACTCACACAGCACTCGCAAATCAACCGCAATCAGAATAAATAAAATATATGTACACATATATATATATATATTATACAGAGAGAGAGAGAGAAGGGAGAAAAAACAAACGGCCACCAAACACATCCAACCAATGTTCCAACCAAGGCACGTCGTGGTCTTATGACGCCTCTCGCTCCTCTGCTTCTCCACGCTCCACTCTGAGTCTTCGTCCGACTCCACCTCCACGAAGGTCCGGCGCACCATGACCCGATGGCTCTGGCACTCCTGGCTGTTGCTTGGACCAATCACCCAAACGACAACCATCCAACATGAAGGAAACAAATCTGTGAACTGAAAAGAGCGTCCCCGTGTCATCAGATTCTTTGACCTCGATGTCCATCCTTTGGATCTGTGTCCGCTGGCAAACCACCTCTTTCTTGGATGATCATCCACTGAAAAAGAGGAACTGCAGTTCCAACCACGAAGGTCCAAAGAATCGGCCGTTGCTTCACTTAGCAACACTAGCAGTCCACCCTCCAGGAACATAGACCCATAATGATCCATGTATAATATACATATGTGTACAATAGTAGAATATAGAATCATCTGATGCTACTGTAGTCTTTGATATACAGAAGTATCCCTGATGTAGTACTGACCCAGTTCGCCGCCTGTCGAATCTGCTCCATCTTCTGAAAGGTCTCCATTGGGGGCGGTTTCTCCTGGATGAAGCGTGGTTCCACATCTTCATGCAAACCTGCAATGGTCATCTGCAGGTGGCTACCGTCGGTAGTTGACACGCAGTGCGTGTTTTGTGTCTTTCAAACACATGTACAACTCTTTGCCTGCGCTGCTAGAGATGTTTTCTTTTCTGGATCCGGACACTAAGCGGAACGTAACATACTATCGCATGACATGACATGACATGACATGACATAACAGGCTGTTGTTACGTTACGGTTGCTGGAAATCCGCCATTTGCATTCCAAGGCTCTGGGTGCTGTGGATCCGCCATTGGCACGTCGATAGGCTGTCTTTTGGAGGAGGAAGCATTCCACAAACTGCGTCCGGATTCGGTTCCAGTCCTCCCGCTTCAGGGCGCATTGGTATGGCACCAGCCTCATCTGCATGGAACGGACGGAACGGGTTTCATGAAGACAGAACTCCAGAGACAAGGCAAAACGAGCAGGGTCAAACCTGTATTGTCTAAGCGCGCGGCAGGAAGGAGAGCAACAACAAACTGTTTGAAGTTTGTTTTGAGGTGCTGCACTGCTTCCGATCACCCAAACAAATTATTGCCTTGCTGCGTTGCCCGCTCTTACAAATTCCAGGTCTGTCTCCCTTCAAATCCCTTCCGTTAGGAATTGCGGATCGAACGAATGCGCCCGACACTCATGTCGCTGCCTACGGATCCGGAAGCCCACCCACGCTGCCTGCGCCCATCCAAACAGCCGTAGATCGGCACATCAAGGCCCAGAGCCATGAGAAAAAGCTTGACAAACTCCGAGAGCCGGAACTTATCCTGGCTCCAGTCATCCAAAGATATCCAAGGTAGATTCAAACACGTAGCAATTTAGGGAGTTCAAGAAAAACCCAAAAAAATCCCCAACAGCTAGGCATCAACATCCGCCTGCTACAGTGCTGTCTCTTCGCCAAACAATGCTGTCTTGAAAAGTGGGCACCCTCTCAATGTGCCACACATATCATGGCAATACGTCGGCGTAGCACATATCATGTGTCCACATAGGCGCGCAAGCAGGGCAACGCCAACTTCCACCAGAACAGAACCTTTGTCCGTAATTTTGCCCGGAACCAGCTCAAGCACCTGCTCCCCAACTTGCCCCGGAACTTGCTCTCGCCCTGCTCGCTCCGGAACTTGCTCCGGAACCTGCTCAGGAATCTGCTCCGCAACCTGTTCCGGAACTTGCTCCAGAACCTGGTCCGGAACTTGCTCCGGACCTGGAACTTGCTCGGAGCCTGCTCGGGAACTTGCTCTGGAACCTGCTCCAGTCCGCGACCTGCTCCGATCTGCTCCAAAATCTTTACTCTGGCTGAAATGTGCGTGTGTCACCCTCCGTCTCTAGGAGTTTTGATTACCACGATCCTCACTGTCATATGCAGGGGGCCAGCGCATGACATCACGACGCTGGCCAACGAAGCTAGTGATGTCATGGGATGCGGTCAGAGACGTCTGACCGTGCACCTGCAATGCAACTGTTGATCACGCTGTCCACTTCCTTGGTTTGCTTCCATGGTAGTTCTCACGATACCTCCCTTTAAACCAAAGGGTTTTTCCTTTAGCCGCTTGCCGCTGTCACGTTGCTGCAGTCACGCGTCAACATTGTTGAACATTTCGGTTGAGCTGATCTTGCGCCATTCCGTTCCCTCACTCTTCGACGTGGAACAGAGTTAACTGAAAACCCTATGACTAAGTGTGCGCCGCTCTGTCGTCCCACTGGGTGCAGAGTGTGATCTCCCGCAAGCGAGCGCTGAGACCATTGGGAATCACATAGCGATTTGGCGTTTTTGCACTTGTGAATCAGGTTACTGGCCCGTTTCCGTCTCACCCATGAATCTTCTGAACCCTACGCTGCGGAGCCACGGAGATTCAAGTCTTTTGACGCTGGCATCCACGTTCGTTCATGTACTGTTACGGTCTGGTTGGCCAGCTTCCCGACATTTTCACGACATTTCACGTACAACTAGTTTCACTCGTACGCTCCGATGGACGTTCAATCCACATTTTGACGAGGTTTTGATGCACCATTTTCCACGTTTTGATGAGAAGTTTTCAAGATCAACTAATTCATTCGGATCGATTGTCATCATCTTTTCTTGCACGGCGCCGATCCATCGCGCTGCCACTGCCACCGCGCTGCTGCTGACGCCGTACCCCTATGCACCATTTTGCCCCTCAACCTACGCCGCGCCATCCGGTCCTAATGCTGCCACATGCTATGTGGCCTCCTCATCCCGCCATCCGCCCACCCACAACACATCCGACACCGCCACTACAACATGCACCAGCGCCCACTTTCCCGGCCTAATGTTTCCCACAGCGGCCCCGTCACCAGACTCTCCGCAACCCACACCACAACCTTCTTCAGCACAGCCACCTACCAGCATACCTTCAGCCACCTCCACCCTCTGCTGCCGCCGCTCATCCCACAGCTGCCGCCCCACAACCTACTATTCTCACGTGGGATCCCCACCAAGGAGGTTTAAACACCATCGACCCCGCCACTGTACCAGCTGAACCCCGCTGCACCCCATTTTGCCACCAGGACAAGGCCCCGCACCCGGCCAAAGCCCTCCCGTCACACGCAACATCACGCCATTCCAATGCAACACATTGCCACCCAGACATCCTTCTTTCCGCCACTCGCGGTGCCTTGAGATCGGCAAACCGACCCTGCACCTATCGCGTGACAGGCAGCACTGCAGCCACCCAAACACCACAATCCCACCTCAAACCACCCATCACTCACAACACATCGGCGCAAACAGAACTTCACTGTCTTTACCCCTTTCGCCAGCTTTCTCCTGCGTCACCACACCACCTCGTGTACCCTTCCCAAACCACCGATCCACAACACCTGGCGTGCCACAGACTCACTGGAACGCCAATGTCCTCCACAGCCATCAGCTTCTCCGCACCATCGCGAGGTGGGCATCGCAGGACTTCCCATCTTTGAAGTCTACCCATGGTTGCTTGCATACCATGGCACTGCGGACTTTACGGCCCGCACTTTGAGCCACGGTAAATACTGCGGACTTAAAGCGGCTTGACCTGGACGCTACAGCTGAAGCCTGAAGCTCTCCACCGCGCCAAGGGCACTGACATTCCCAACAAAACCACTCAAGCCCGCGCGTACCTCGCTCCTCTCATCGAACTCGTCACCACTCACTTGGCCGCCCATGCTCCGGCCGCGGCAGAAGGCTCTGCCATCCATGAGCTCAAAGCAAAAAGTGAGGAGGGTGCAAGAGTGCAAGCGAAGCTCCAGACACACGGGCTGACACTTACCCCCCGCGTTGACGGTCACGCGCTCCCTCCGCTCCCCGAAGCAGCCACCCACAAACCTCCAGTCTTGGCAGACGTCCTTCAACCACCACACCCCTCTCTCAAGGATGACGTCCCGGAGGGCTGGTCCATGCCTGCTATCTCTTCCTGGCTGTCCACCTTTGATGAAGCCATTCAAGAGTCGGCCTTAAAGACATTGTTCGTCTTCTCGATTCTCGAAAAAAGCAAGTGGACCCAAGAGCAACTCCGTGAAGCAGGCACTCGCTATGGGCTCCCTTTGAACAAGCTGAACAAGTGCCCTCTTAAGACGCTGCAAAACTTAGTCAGTGTGGGGCCGCCCTTGCCTGCTGACTGAGCCACGTAGCTCAGCAATCTCCACACACCTCCAACACGCAACAACTTTTTCCTGCATAGATTCCTTTTTCCACACTCATCCACCGAGCAACCTACATCGAACGAGCAGACGCCATTTTTGCCACCGGCCTACTCCATCTCACGCTGCTTTTTGCCTACCCCTCCAACACCCAACACTCTCACCAATAACGAAAGCGCTTTCGCCAGCTCCATGCATGTGCTGCCGCACACTTACCACTAATACCACCACTTCGACCTATCACCGGGCCTGGATCCACGAACACAACCACATTTCCAACTGGATGCCACCTGTCAATTGGCCTTTCATCTCCATCCACCTCAAGCTGAAAGCCCAAGGCTGGCAACTCACCAAACACAGAGCTCACTCCTTCTCCCGCCTTGCCACCCACAAGCGACTCTTCCGACGTCTTCGACGGCGCCCGCAAACCATGCAGTGAACCACAACTCTTCGCAAAAGAGTTGCCCTCACTCTATTGCGAAATCTGACCAAACACACAGCTGACTCTTTTGAAGCAGCTGATCAACTACGCAGCGGCCGTCACACCGACCTTGAACTTTACGCCATTCGCCGCATGGCTGCTAACCTGGAAGAACCAGGTCGCACCAAAGCACTGCAGATCATCCACAAAGCCATGAAGCATCGCAATCTCACTCCACCCCACGCGAACGTTCCCCTTACCATTCCTTTCTTGGCTCATGACAATTTTACCGCTGAAACTCAGCAATGGCTACGCACTATCATCCAGCACCACAAAGCCCTTGCTATTCCCCTTCGCCCTTCGCCTTCCTACACATCGACTTCGGGAAGCTGCTCATAAGACACTACGCAGCCAGCTCCACAACCATCGAAAATGGAAAGACAGTCTACTCAGCCAGCAGATCCACTTGACCTTCCCTGCGCATGTGAGCATCTCAAGACGCTTCTCATTGATCCAGACCATCCCACCACAAACGAACACTACATCCTCACCCTTGATCACCTCCAGCTTCCCTCCCACCTTCGCATCTTCCTCAACGCCAACATGAACAGCACCTTTTACCCTACCAAAGCAAGGTACCAGGTACTACCTAGCTTTTCAAACAGCCTTTCGAAAATGGCTCCGCACTCAAGCTTTTCCACCATCCCTTGCCCAACACACCGAATCCTTTCTTCATCACCAATGGAAACTCCACATCTCTCACCTCAAACAAACACCACACTTCACAGCACGCTTGCTTCGCCAGCTGCAAGAATATCTCGGCGACCAAGTGGTCCTGCACCATGCCGACCATGAGCTGCAGCAGCTCCGCATCTTTTGTCCCCAGCAATATTTCCGCGGAGCCCTCAACACCTGGCAAGCGCCTAAACTTTTCCAACCACTACCCCACCTGACTCCACCCAATATCAACGACCACCTTTTGGCCACGGTTCCCTGACCTCCGCACCCGCTACAAATGGTGATTCCACCTGAAAGAGAAGAAGCAATGGCACAAAGGCAGGACCATCATCTCCTACTACCACTCCCTCGCAGGCAACCTTCTCCGCATCACTAGCAGAGCACTGGGCATCATTCTGCAACACCTTTGCCCACAACATCCTGGCCAACTCTCCATACCAACAACCTCTTGCACCACACCAATTTCCAATTCAACTACTACCGCTACGTCGACAATCGTTCCATCACCCACAACGAGTACTTCCTTGAAGACTACTACCTCCTCAATTCAACATTGATCTCACCCAACGCACAATCACATGCTAGTGATGCGCGGTCACTGCCGTCTTGGTGGCCGACAGCAGCAGTGCTCAGTGACTGATGCGAAGTCACTGTTTGACTGCCTCCTTCGTGAGAATCCGTCCGGGAAGCAGGACAGGAAGTGTGCTCTGGAGCTAGCAATCATCTTGAGGGACCTCCAAGAGACTAGAAGCATGGTGCGGTGGGTTCCTCACCAGAAGATGCTGGTCGACAGCATGACAAAGCTGGACCCTTTGAAGGCCAATGGCGCCCTCCACCAGTTCGTAAAGACTGGGCGTCTTAGCTTGGTCGACGTGGACGAAGAGCTGACGCGCTCCCCCGCGAGGATCCTGATTTTCGCAAGAGAAGCCACAGCGCCTCACATCAGCGTCTGCTACAGGAGCAGCAGCT